TCATACTGGCATCTACAAAGCAGTTTAACGTCCATCTTTTACGAGGTCTTTGTTCTTGGTCAGGAAGGCTTGAATGATGTGTTGTCGGCCTTGTTCTATGAGCTTCGGCTAAAATCTCTTCTTCGGAAACTTTACTGTCCGTGAGCGCCGACGAGACGCGATCGTCGATCGTGTTCAGCTTGGCTTCGGCCAGCACTCGGATTTCGTCGTGTTTTAAGGCCTTCCATTGCAGACGACGCGAAACGAGCTTTAGAGCTAATCCCGCCAGTCCCGATACCCCGGCGGCTACTTCTAACCCGAGGACAACGTGTGAGGCCATGATGGTCGACAACAAGCCAATGCTGACACCCCCAAGTCCCATGCTGGCAAACACGAGGGCCGTGTCCACACCGTCGATGGCATTGATGGCACAATGGTACTTTTTTTGTGCAATCTGAGTCGCACGTCGCGTTCTCGTTCCAGTTGGCGGTTGATGTCGCTGATCTGTATATATATAGTTTACGAAATAATATTTATTGGTCCTCCGTCAATCCTTGATGAATATGCTTTAACTCATTAAGGCCAAGAGACGCATATATGGAGCAAAATAATCAGCTCCTCACAGCGAGTGACGTGTTTATGGGGCTTGTAATTAGCAGTTTCTCACAGCGAGAGCCACATATATTCGTCTACAGAAAGCACCTCTTATTCAGAGAGAGACGCAAATGTGTGTCGTACTTTTAAAAATTGCACTGTACCTATTATTTCAACCAATATTTTCCACCTGAGCAAATATTAGCTTTTCTTACGAGAGATGCAACCTTTAGTGTCAATCAGAAGAAGTATTTAAAGTGTTTTGATAGCAATTGCTAATCATTATCTTAGGCTTGTACAGCGTTTGGCAAATGAACACATGTCGGCAAGAAAGGGGATTACAAATAATTCAAACACAATAGAATAGTTTGAATTTACTTTTTAGGTATTATTACGTTGTCATGTTTCATATAATGAAACATTATGTATAAACACAAATAATTATACATCCAAGCTCGAATAGATTAGGCATAATTTAACTTACTAATTTGAAGCTTACTGAATTGTAACTAGTTATTTTCCATAATCTAAAGTTGATAATGTTACCTAATCGAATATAAAGTGATAAGTCGCGCCTTTGCATCGAATATATATACATGTCAGTGTTATTACAACAATGAAATCTTGTACTACGTTTGTTACTGGCTTCAATCATTCCTATCACAAGTCTCATGTCAACACACCGCACATCTCCCTCTTCTATTGTATAAACCAATACCCGCCATGTATGTATTTCTCCTTGTGCATATGTTGGGTATCATTTGCTTGATAACGGTGTTAGGATCTACACCGAAACGTCGCAACTACTACTGCAACAAAGATGTTGTCTATCGATAAAAAATGTGTTCCACTTCGATATTGTGTTGAATGGATGACATCTCCTCTGATGATGGATAAGATATTTTTGAGGTGTTGATGTCCTTGATGTCAGTCAGTATAACCATCGCTGCTGTCTTTATTAACTTAAGCTTTCCTGTAGTACAGTCCTTTTCGCGTGATTGTCTATAGTAGTCCTGGAGAACTGTTTCTGCTGTTGTTCTGACAGTAACCACGTTTGACTTGCCATTCATTTCAGTTATGATGATAGAATCCCCAAAGTGTTCCTATAGTTTGCGTTTCATATAAACATGGCTATAAGCACCATCCCCAATCAATTGTGTCATGTGGTGAAGAAGGTTGCCGACTGTGATCTGTTCACTGTCATTATCTTTCACATACTCTATCACTTTCATGAAGGCCTCAGCGCAACCGGAATTTACAGGTGTTCCTTGAGAGAATTTCTGCTGCTTCTTTTCTTTACAACAAAGCTTTGGTATTTGACGGCCAGTTCGAAAGTTTACATTGCACGGTTGATGGTACAAGCATTTGCGGCAGGGAAATCATTAACTGATTCAAGCTTTCCTTGAACATCCTGGCATATTTTCTAGATGACGCTTTGAAAGACTAAGGTTCTGACAGGGTGGACTTCATAGGACCTCTTCTTTCCTGATAGACGCGCATACTGTCCACAGAACAAATAATGTTCAGAAAACACAAAGCTTGATATTTTGAAACGTGTTGGTCTCTCACTTGAATCATTTACAGGCGGCTGTTGGGACAGACTCTGTTTTATCACATTTGGGTTGGTATACGTCTTTCGGCATTCATGGTCAACCACTTGGCCAGCTTGAACGTGCAAAGAGTCACCACAAGCTGAGCTTGCTGAATTAATTCCATCACAGCCTGTGTTCCCCAAAACTACATTTCTGGTGTCCCCCGCCGTGATATTGCTGGAATATTGCTAAAAGCGGCATAAAATCATACTCATTCACTTAAAACTACAGTAGGCTTTCCATGAAGTTCCATGCTCCATATAATGCATTTCTCCATTGATGCTTGAAATATCTGAGAGTAAAATGAATAAATTATATTATATAATTGAGAGTGAAATACATGTACTCGGCTCTATCAGTAAAACCAATCCTCTATTGGCTACAGTGATGATTAAATGTATCTTCATTCTACATCAAGAAAATACATCTATCCACTTGTAACTATTTTATTATAAAACGTGTAAATTATTTTAAAACTTTCACATCAAATAAACATGTTTTCTAGATGAATATAGGGAGTGAGTTAAGATTTATCGTCACATCGGCAATATTTCAGCCATATACAAGAACATTTTATGATTATAGTAAAGATAAATAAAGTTAGAAATTAAAAAACCTGTTGCCGAAAAACAGTAAAACCACTAGTGTATCCAGATGAATATAACGTAAATGATCCCTTACCAGTTGAACAAGCATCGAATGATGTCAGTTTTCCATGAAAATGTGTATCAATTTTATTTACATATTTTCTTGTGTTTTTTGTCACGTATACTGTGACTTTTTTACGAGAAAATGGGCTTTTTTACCGAACTGAAAGTAATCGTGAACTTTTAGATGCATTATGGCGTAAATGGGATTCCATAGATTCTTTTCTAAACCAGAACCAACCCCTTGAAATGTGCATATTTTATGTTACAAATCAACAGATTAGCATATAAAAGGTCTAGGATTTCTACTTTTAAATACCCATTTCTATGTTCAAAATCTTTTATTTTTTAAAATTCATTTCCCCAAAACAACAGTATGCCGTTGAGTAAATGTGATGTGATTATTTGTAAGCCAAGGCTTCTTTGACAAAATGTGTCGCAGTATATAATATCACTGTCAACTTAATTTATATCAATGGTACATTTATAGGTTTAAAAGAGAAATACTTACCCGATGTGAATACTATAGTTCTATGTTTAAAGTAAAAATATACATATTTCCAACCCCCTAGATTTTTCTAGACTTATATTTTGTTGTTGGATACATTTGTGTTTTGTTTCAGCTAAAAGCATTTCATTTGAAGACAGTTGAAGGTTAAACCTTAGATTGACTGGACTATTTGACCAAATTTGATTTTGATCTGGTCCTTAATTCAATGCCGATCTGCATTCTATGGTCGATAAATATTATTTTCGGAGGAAAAAGCGTCCCGTTTTCGAGAAAATATTATTACAGGCAATTAAGTGACAGCTTGTGGAGTCACGTGACGTTCTTATAATGGCAATGATGTGCTAGTACTCATCTGAGACATGGTCCATGGAAGTTGTTCTATCTGGCAGCTGTGTCAATCATCCCAAAGCCAACACCCAGTGAATAGAGACTTCTAACCACGATTGAATGTATGACGTCATACGTAAGATACGTAACCTGTCATGTATTTACTTGTGCTGGCAATAGCTTCAGTACTGGTACTATGACAAATGTGATTTTAATGTTACACAGGATGAATTTATTTTTTTACTTGTGTCCATTCTATTCTGTACAAAGACAACTGTACTTACCTAGTTATTATCACACGTTTCCATCAAGATTAAAATTTAAACAACTTTTAACAACAACAAATGCACATCTATTGAAGTCAATAGCATTATTTCTAAAGCGTAACTTGCCTGTATGAAAATGAACTAATTACATTGTTTTTTCTGTCAATCCGCACAATATTGTTCTTATATGTTTGTACTCTTGGCCATGTGGCCTCAAATACTGAATAAACTTCTTCTTCTTCTTCTTCTTCTTCTTCTTCTTCTTCTTCTTCTTCTATCAAGCCGGTGTATGTCCATAGCGGTGACCTGTCACATTATGACGGACTGCTTTCCTGCTTCAATGTTAGTCTTGCTTCGGTAGAACCTACTAAGTAAAAAATAACAGCTCGGTACAGGTTACACAACTGATTGTCCAGACCATTGTGATGTTCCTACTTTGATATCGCTATTAAGCCACCGCGGCTTCCACAAAACAAACTTTCTAAATGGTATTGTGTATTCATTGCTTTCGGCCTTGGGAGCCGTGCCGATTTACATTTGTCAGAGAGGTATACAAACTACGTAATTTAGATTACCAGTTGTCCGACTTCCATTTTTGTGGAAACCGCGATGGCTGAGTGGGTTAGATTGCTAATTTTTTTGGCGATTAGATGCCTGCGAGAATGGGTTCGAACCCGGATGGTATTTTACCAACTAATTTTGGGAAGCCTAGACGTATTTAAAGGTGGACTAGTGTTACGTCAAAGTAACGTTAAAAGACAAGGACTGCACTTGTTACGAAACGTTTATTCACACAAACATGGCAACTGAAAATTCACTCGAGCCAATTCTGTTTAGTAACATGTGTTGAGATAATTGATTAGATCATCTGTGTAATAAAACGACATGTAAACAGGCACGTGATAACTTGCTGATATTGAACGTTTTTTTCACTAGCGGTATATCAGCTAGTGTATCAATAGTTGTTTATGAGGATGTGAATTTATCAAACTTGAAATTTTCATCACATATAAGTATGAATATCCAAGTTATCACGTGACAAGATGTTTTGTTTTGATTGAACTGTCAGACTATTAGAGAAACATTTCAGCATGTTATGTCAACTGCACAACGTGTTTCCAACAATGTTCCTGTTTCTCGTTGGTCTTGCTTGTCTAACCCTGTCGGTGGTCGTTGCTGATTATCAACATGGTAGAGACGACCTCCTCTACCGAGTGGACATCTACCTGCCCCCCAAGGAGGGGAGGGACGAGGTTGCAGACATCCAGAAAATCCAGCAGACTGTGAAAGGTCTAACTGACATCAAGGTTTTGTTTGCTTTTAAGGTGCGTCTCAAATATATATTATCACATTGACACGCAGCTACATACACAGTTACATCATGATAAGTATTTGATCTTCATCACTACAACATCAATTTCTTTACCGCGGTAATGAGTTCACTTTCCATTCCAGCTATGAACGTAGGCTGATTTCACGGCTTCTTTAAATGCTGTGTATTTCCTGTAGGACCAGCATCAATACACATTGCCATTTATAAAGTGGTCAAATGTTACAGATGTTATATACTTCCCATCACAAGTTTAGACTCACTAGTGTAAATGTAGACACTTACTTCAGGCAGCTGTTCTAAACTAAATTTTGCAAAATATTCCATACTGTTTAAAGGTACTGTTTACCATGAACTGACGTATTGTAAAACAAATTCGTAACGTTTAAAAGAAATGTTGTCATGAGTTCACTAAATGATAAAAAATCAGTGACAATTGGAGTATTCTTAACAAAACTTTACACTAAAACGCAGCTGTTCACATGCACGATATTTGCTCATACTTTTCAGCAATTTATTGCATGATCCTCGTGCAATTCATCTGCATACGGTTTGCACTTGGTTCCCCCAAGTTAGTGGAGAAATCAATCGTCGATGTAACCATATACATATACATAACATATAGTGAGTGTTTTAAGCGAGTCTGTACTTTTGATGGGAAGTATATTTGGGATTACACTTTCTCAGTAGAGTACAGATTCCAGTACTTTTGTTAGGTTTAGCCCCACCCAGGGTTCGAACCAACACTCTCAGAGTCAGGCACCTAATCGCCAGTCCACAAGGTTAGCCATCTAACCCACTAACTCTGCGCGACTGATGTGACTCAAGCTTTGTTGGGTTGAGTCCCAGTTTGTTGGGTTCAGTACCAGTTCGAACCCACAATCTCAGAGTCAGGCACCTAATCCCCATCACACAGTCAGCCGCCTAACCCGTTCAGCCACCGCGGCTTCCACAAAAATGGAAGTCGAACAACTGGTAGTTCAGATCACAGACTTTGTGTACCCCTCTGATAAGTGTAAATTGGCACGGCTCCCACGTCCGAAAGCAATGAATACACAATGCCATTTTGAAGCATGAAGCAACTGGTACCAGTGTATTTATCAAATGCTTATGTAATGCACAGGGTAGTAAGGTCGACATACCGGTACCACATCGTTGCACATACGTCTACCTCAGGTAAGGTAGACTAGGTTTACGCAGCTATCAGCAAAATTCCAGCAGTGTCACGGTGGGTGGGGAGGGGGGGGGGGGGGCACCAGAACCAGAAATGGGCTTCACACATTGTATCCATGTGGGAATCGAACCCGGGTCTTCGGGGTGACGAACGAACGCTTTAACCACTAGGCTACCTGGGGAATGAACTCTAACACATGAACTTCATATAAATCATGCCAAAACGGGCAAATATATATTTCATCCAAATTCAGCAATGGTATTGTACCAAAGTTGTTTTTTTCATGACCAGTTTGATGTACTGACAAAGTATATTTCGTTTAACAGGAGCTGGGAAATGCAAGGATTGTTCTTGGTAAGATCACTTATCATTCTGTTTATATTTATCGTTGAAATTATAGAATAATTTGAAATATATTTGAAATACGATTACTGTATCCCTTGCAAATATATTCTTTTAATCATATCTCTATCCAGCATGTCGTATATTGAAATGCCATGTTTGCATCTTTGAAAATACACAAGTGAGTGAAAGCTACTCGACCCCTAATGGTGCGAGACCACACCACGAATGAGTGAGTGAGTTTAGTTTTACGCCGCTTTTAGCAATATTCCAGCAATATCACGTCGGGGGACACCAAAAATGGGCTTTACACATTGTACCCATGTGGGGAATGGAACCTGGGTCTTCGGCGAGACGAGCGAAAGCTTTAACCACTAGGTTACCCCACTGCCCCCTCGACCCAAGAAGCCAGTAACGGTACAACCTGTATCGGCCAAGCAATGCCCGGCGAAAACTTACGCTAGAAATATCCAAGGTATTAACGCTTGGTGCGCAGACGCCGGACACCAGACCAGCGCACCAGACGCTGCCTCGCAGGGATCCCTAGAAGATACATGGGAGACCCAGAATTACAAACGAGTAACACCTCAACCACTAAAGAAGCTGAAGGTTGAACATAAAGAGACGAAAAACAGCTACCTAGGGCTGGCAATAAAATATTATTACTTCCAACTGTGTAAAATTCGTATTGTGGCAACAAGTACTCTTCATGCTGGAGAAATATCTACAGAGTTCTACATAAATACGTTTATGCTTGAAAATCAGTTCATAAAACCGTTTGAAAAAATAGGGATGCTTGCCTAGTCATATCAAATACCATTTACTGCGATGAAACATTTACTGGATATATATTATGGACGACAAACTCCCCAATGACGCCCAAATGAGTATTAAGGTACCGAGCGTTGCCGAAGTGAACCGACCTGTGCCGACCGTCGGACGGCAATGAATAGTGAAGGTGCTGAGGATCACTGGACCGTGGAGAGCATTGTTTTACGACAATGTTGGATATTTAATTCATCTGCACTCATCTTGATGAGTGGACATGTGTTTATTGTGTTTATGTACATGCTTCAGTTCTTGACGTTGAGAAACCATGCAGCTGGCCCCAGTTGACAGGGTTTCTGTCACGGAAGGGATATGTGTTCAACGTCACATCCCTCTACCTCTGCACTGACTTCGCCCGGGAGCTGGGTATCACCCTGAACATCTCTATGTGGTCACCTTCATCTGGTAATGATGAACTTGCCATGCTCAAGAAGACAGTTCGTGTGAAAGGTAACTAAACCTTTTCAAATATTAGCTCCATGTGAATGATTTGCTAGTGTTCACGAACCCATCGTTTCACTACTGAAACATTAACGTAAACATTTGTTATATTTGGAACTACACTTTCTTAGTAAAGTACAGATTCTTGTACTTTTGTTGCATATTTGACTGATTAAGTTGACTATTGATATCAGTGTTATTGTTTCCACTGGACAATGGTCCATCCAGCTGACAGACAATGATGATAAGTATTAATGACGTCACTTCTTTCTGATAATCAGATGGTGAAACGAGATAATAATTTAATAATAGTAATACATTTCTATAGCACTATTATCCAGCATAAGTTCCTCAATGGTGCTTTACATACAGGAGAGAATAGCATAGCTACTGGTTGAATAGAACAAAATCAATTTCTGGCGGAAGATGTCAAAGGTTTCAGAGGATCGTATCTCCTGTGGTAACCTGTTCCACAGAGTTGGTGAAGCCACAGAAAAGCCGTTGCTAGCCAGTTCAGTTCTTGTAAAAGGAAGTATAAGTTGTTGTTGTTGAGATGAGCGAAGATTGCGTATCCGGATATGAGGAGTCAGAAGATCTTTGAGATCTTTGAGTCGGAGTGGAGTGCAGAGTAGGTCAGGCAAAGGATCTTGAAGGTGAAGCGCTGTTTGACAGAAAGCCAATGGAGCTGTGTCAGGACTGGGGTGATGTGTTCACGCTGTCTGGTACGAGTGATGATACGAACTGCTTTGTTTTGTACACGCTGAAGAAGAGAAACAGAACCAGATCCAGATATGAGAAAGTTGAGAATAGTCGAGATGATAGGTGACATAAGCATGCATGTTTTGCATGTATCAGCGTCGAGATACTTTTTTAATCTTTCCAATGGTGTAGAGTTTGAAATTTGCGGTTCTCATCCTTTACCTCAGTCAACTTTTTCACTATTGCGAAACGTTGCTTGGGGTTCCGCTCATTATCACTGATGCTGGTTTTGATGTGAAACAGTTTAGATTTTTCATTCGGAATGTTAACTTTATTTCGAGCCTGCTGGAAAATTTGCCTGTAGACTTCAAGCTTGTTAGTTCGCCAGGTCTTTTCTTCAATGCGACGTTCATGTCATTATTCATCCAGACAGATTTCGGTCGAACGACTTACGGATAAGTAATCAGTAGTATAGGGGATGGGGAGAAAAAGACGTATAGGTACACCTTGCTTAGAAGCTTCCATACGGGCTAATTCTGCTACCAGCCTAGTAAAGATGAGTGGTTGCACAAAACTTCAACAAGACCACTTTCGGCGGCTCCCAACGCAGTGCACTCCCAATTAGAGCTATGTGGGTGCATGGATATAGAAACATGCCAGGAACCAAGCTCCTGCGCGAAGCCTATACTGAACTCCGATCGGGTCGTTTGCCCCTTCGGGAAGCGAAGTATCACATATCGCAAGCCCGATACATGCGAATCCGAGGTGGTATAGAACCAGAGCCACAGACGACAACAACTCCCGACATATCCGAAGACTTCGAGTCCCTCCTGCAGAAGTGTTGCCCTATGTTGCTTTCTGACCGAGAGAAACAAATCTACCCACCCCACCAATTTCGACCCTCGGCAGGTAAACTCCGAATCATTCTCGCCGATGACTGCTGTCCGGGACCTAAGGACAGACACAACCGATGCACCAACAGCCTCGCTGCTCTATCGGAACTGCCTGCTCTCTTCACACCCGACAACTCTACATGCAAGTGTTGTGCCATCGACCACTGCGACGACAGCAAGAAACGCTTTCTGGAGCATACGGTATGCACTCCTCATCAGCAAATTGGTGGACCATTGTCCGTGCAAGGAGAAAGAGTCTTGTATCTTCCGCCAGCTATCGGAGAAAGCAGAGGTACCACAAGGACGGGGTAATAATTGGCATACCCAATTGCTCAGTATGGCGGGTCCAAGGATATGGAAGTGGCAGCTACTCCATGCAGCGAACACCGAAAAGCCGCGATTCCAGTCTACGGCTACAAGATACCAGAAATTATTCGAGGCGCCGGTGGAATAGAACGCCTATAGTTGGTGCGGGAACCGTTTCTGTGCAGGCTCGGTAAGATCTGCCGCTCACTCATATCGAAAGAGAAAGACGATAGAGAAGTCGAGTTGATGCTTCCAGACCTTGGGCAAGAATAGGTTCTATGGGCCCTTCCAGACACCGCAGGGCTAGGGAGAGTACTACTCCTACTCCAACATGGGCCGGGGTGCTGTGGTCGAAGCACCGCAGGGCTAGGGAGAGTACTAATCCTACTCCAACATGGACCAGGGTGCTGTGAAGGACCTTCCAGGTCCTGCAGGCCTAGGGGGAGTCCTACTCTGACATGGACCGGGGTGCTGTGGAGGACCTTCAAGGAAACCACCGGGCTAGGGAGAATACTACTCCTACTCTGACATGGACCAGGGTGCTGTGGAGGACCTTCCAGGCACCACCGGGCTAGGGAGAATACTACTCCTACTCTGACATGGACCGGGTTGCTGGAGGACCTTCCAGGCATTACCGGGCTAGGGAGAGTACTACTCCTACTCTGGCATGGACTGGTGTGCATACCTGGGGGAAAAAACAACAACTCATGGTTCGTATAGGCTGCATTCCACACATCTCTACTCCATGTGGAAGGGATCCCCACGTTTGGTCTTGGGTGTTTCTACCTTCTCATCGGTCGGTGTGTAAGGGGTGCACAAAGGGGGAAACTGCTGTGCTTCCAGGTCTTGCGGACGACCTTCCAGACAAACAAGGCAGCTATCGAAAGGTAGGTCAACCTTTGGGCCGATTCTGCCATCTGCCACACCTTCTCGATACCCAGACAGGTCTCTTCTTGTTCCTCCTCGACGCTTTCTATTTCCTCCAGGAGTTCGTCGTCGTCGTCATCCTTGTCTAACCTAGACAAGATGTTCACCAAGAAATTCGTGGTTTGGTCCACACGAGCCGACAACGTCATCGCGTTTGTTCCACATGAGCCTCGAGCCTCCCCAAGCGGTCGTAGAAACTCCTGGACAGTGGGCGCAGTCGACGGTTGTGCAGCAGGCAATACGCTGCTGGTAGACATCTCCATGTTGGAGTAGGAGTAGTACTCTCCCTAGCCCTGCGGTGTCTGGAAGGGCCCATAGAACCTATTCTCACCCAAGGTCTGGAAGCATCAACTTGACTCTTCTATCGTCTTTCTCTTTCGATATGGGTGAGCGGCAGATCTTACTGAGCCTGCACAGAAACGGTTCCCGCACCAACCGTAGGCGTTCTATTCCACTGGCTCCCCGAATCGTTTCTCGTATCTTGTAGCCGTAGACTGGAATCGTTTCCCCAGTCGGTGAATCGAGTAGCAGCAACAGCCGGTTCTTCCCTTCGTATCTCTCTACAGCGAACTTTTTGCATGTGTAGACTCCTTCTGGGACGTCCGCGGCTTTTCGGTGTTCGCTGCATGGAGGGACTGCCACTTCCATATCCTTGGACCCGCCATACTGAGCAATTGGGTATGCCAACTGCCCCGTCCCTGTGGTACCTCTGCTTCCCCCGATAGCTGGCGGAAGATACAAGACTCTTTCTCCTTGCACGGACAATGGTCCACCAATTTGCTGATGAGGAGTGCATACCGTATGCTCCAGAAAGCGCAGACGCTGTCGTACAGGTTCTCTACATTCATGAAACAGCTGTCGACCATGATCTCTTCTGAAACCTCGAGTGGGAGTCGCTCCTGGGGTGTGTAGTCTATTGCTCTCTTTTCCCAGAGAACGCATTTCTTGCTGTCGACGCAGTGGTCGATGGCGCCGCACTTGCATGTAGAGTTGTCGGGTGCGAATAGAGCAGGCAGTTCCGGTAGAGCGGCGAGGCTGTCGGTGCATCGGTTGTGTCTGTCCTTAGGTCCCGGATAGCAGTCGTCGGCGAGAATGATTCGGAGTTTGCCCGCCTAAGGTCGAAACTAGTGGTGTGGGTAGATGTAGACGAAATCGACTATTTTGCCGGCTTCGACTAGTGGGCGAAAGCACAGCAAGTAGAGTTCGAGAAACTGGTGAGGGATCTGGTAGCGCTCGTAGAAGGCGTGTCCCGATTGCTCCAGGATTTGTTTCTCTCGGTTGGAAAGCAACATAGGGCGATACTTCTGCAGGAGGGCCTCGAAGTCTTCGGATATGTTGGGAGTTACCGTTGTCTGGGGCTCGGGGTCTATACCACCTCGGATTCGCGTGTATCGGGCTTGCGATATGTGGTACTTCCTCTTCGCTTCCCGAAGGGACAAACGACCCGATCGGATCTCAGTATAGGCTTCGCGCAGGAGCTTGGTTCCTGGCATGTTTCTATATCCATGCACCCACATAGCTCTAATTGGGAGTGCACTGCATTGGGAGCCGCCGAAAGTGGTCTTGTTGAAGTTTTGTGCAACCACTCGTTTTTACTAGGCTGGTAGCAGAATTAGCCCGTATGGAAGCTTCTAAGCAAGGTGTACCTATACGTCTTTTTCTCCCCATCCCCTATACTACTGTAATGGCGTAATATGTGGCAATAATTTGCAGACATTGGTAAACAAAATCCGTAGTTTAATTTAATATAATATATATGCTCAGTCATCTGCCGAAACCTTGAGTCCGCCTTGAGTAAAATGGATAATAATGATGACAATTATATAAGCAGAAATCGGTGATGTTTGCAAAAAAAGTAAGTCCTGCCCTACTGGCTGCACCCTTCACAAACGGTATACACAAAAAACGGTCTGCCACTTAGACCATTGTGGACATTTTATGGGGCTATGATCAATAAATATATACACACATGTTGTAAGCATTATATACTAACCATCCATGATCAATCAAATATTTTTTTATGATTCATGTTCGTATGCGTAGACTTGTAGACTTGACAACACTTGAGTACAGGATAGTCATATCATACACACTTGACAACACTCGAGTACAGGATAGTCATATCTTACACACCTGACAAAACTGCAGTACAGGATAGTCATATCTTACACACTTCCCAACACTCGAGTACAGGATAGTCATATCTTACATACTTGACAACACTCGAGTACAGGATAGTCATATCTTACACACTTCACTACACTCGAGTACAGGATACTTATATCATACACACTTGACAACATTTGAGTACAGGATAGTCATATCTTACACACTTGACGACACTCGAGTACAGGATAGTCATATCTTACACACCTAACAACTCTCCAGTACAGGATAGTCATATCTTACACACTTGACAACACTCGAGTGCAGGATAGTCATATCTTATACACCTGACAACACTCGAGTACAAGATAGTCATATCTTACACACCAGACGCCTCTCCAGTACAGGTTAGTCATATCTTACACACCTGAGAACACTCGAGTACAGGATAGTTATATCATACACACTTGACAACACTCGAGGACAGGATAATCATATCTTACACACTTGACAACAAGGATAGTCATATCTTACACACTTGACGACACTCGAGTACAGGATAGTCATATCTTACACACTTGACGACACTCGATTACAGGATAGTCATATCATACACACTTGACAACACTCGAGTACAGGATAGCCATATCATAACAACTTGACAACACTCGAGTACAGGATAGTCATATCTTACACAATTGACAACACTCCAGTACAGGATAGTCATATCATACACACTTGACAACACTCAAGTACAGGATATTCATATCTTACACACCTGACAACACTCAAGTACAGGATATTCATATCTTACACACCTGACCACACCCGAGTACAGGATATTCATATCTTACACATTTGACCACACTCTAGAACAGGTTATTTATGTATTCATATTTTACAGGCTTGGCAACGGATGAGTACAACCAAATGTTGAAATGGAACTTCGAGAGAGATAACATCATCTTCAAATCCGGACAGCCTGCCGTATGCTTCAGAACTCTGGCCTCCTACCCAGTTCAGGTAATTAAAGGCGGTGACATGCTTCAACCACCCGATCCCGTGAGTCGCATTTACGACAAGCATGAGTTGCTGAAGACCAATTCTCATCCGGATCTTCATGTAATACCCAGCTAACAATTTCACATTGTCACAATGTTGTCACAACGTTATGCCTTCGTTGTTTGAACGTTATTCTGTGGACTCCCGTTGTCACAAGGTTGTGGACTGGCGTTGTGATACGTCATTTTTGCGTCACCACAGGGTAAAGTTATTTGATGCCAACGTATCTTACGTTGTCCTAACGTTACATTTAACGTTAATAGTTGAATAGTTTTCCCAGTAGTGAACAGTACATATGAAACAAAGCAGAAATTTACTTCAATGTTTATTCGTCAGTTTGCATGTTGTTTTGGTCGTTTGTTCACTAGCTGAATAGTGAAGAAAGAAACTCAAAGTGAAAAGTTTTACAGAAAACTATCGTCACCCCAAGTTGTAAGAAACGTTGTTAGAACGTTGTGAGGAGTCCAAAGCATAACGTTTCCTCAACGTAAATTTGCAGCGTTGTCATTACGTTGTGACATGACGTTATAAAATGACGTAATACTAACGTTGTAACAACGTTGTGTGCTAGCTGGGTAGTAACTTCTGATGTACAGTTTTCTGTGTTCCATAAAAAGGTGAGTGAGTTTGGTTTTACGCCGCGTTTAGCAATGTTCCAGTAATATCACGGCGAGGGACACCATAAATGGGCTTCACACATTGTACCCATGTGGTCCATACAAAGAAATAAAAGCAAATTGTATTCATCTTCAGTTGTATTATGGTCATTGTATTGCACTTCAGTAAATTTGCATTGATTATTTTCAAACACTTTCAGCTCCTGTACTTCGGCCCAATCAGCCAGCACGACATAGAAGAAGTGGAAGAGTTTGTGCATGCATCTCGGTGTCAGACTGAAGTGACCCGAGTTGCGGACCTCGATTACTACACACGGGGAGCTATGGATGCAGCTGGAATATGATAAATCAGAACAATTGGGACTCAAATCGATATGATAATTTAAAAGGTATGATGAATAAATATTTGGATACATAGATTTAAAAAAACGATTGGTTCCAACATCAGCAATGTTTAGTACTCATATGTGCAAGTAATTACTTGACAAAATAAATTATGGCATTCATTTCATTGGTCACTGTGTTTTTTATATGTGGCATTAATGCACACGAGTAAATATGCATGTTCAGTTCGTTATTCACAGTGATTCATATTGGCCATAACGGATCCAGATTTTATTTCTCAGGTTTGCATAGGTAACCTGAGATATGCCTTTACTCTGACCAATGATGCATAACACTATTCGTAATTAGTTATCAAAATTCCATCTTTCATCGAAACAAGCTAAAGTTCCGGTAGCTAGTAGATCATTTCTGTGGACACAAGCTAAATACTTGGCACCCAATAGATCATATCTGTGGACACAAGCTAAATTCTCGGCACCCAATAGATCATTTTTGTGGACACAAGCTAAATTCTCGGCACCCAATAGATCATTTTTGTGGACACAAGCTAAATTCTCGGCACCCAATAAATCACCTCTGTGGACACAAGCTAGATTCCCGATATCCAATAGATCATTTCTGTGGACAGAAGGTAAATTCTCGGCACCCAGGAGATCATTTCTGTGTACATAAGCTCAATTCTCGGCATCCAATAGACCATTTCTGTGGACATGAGCTCAATTCTCGGCACCCAATAGATACTTTCTGTGGACACAAGCTCAATTCTCGGCACCCAAAAGATCACTGCTGTGATTTCATTTCCACCATGGAAGGATAACAATATACCATGGGTGAGTGAACAACTGCTTTATTACAGTGAGAGCGACGCTTGATAACGGTGTTAGAACCTACACCGAAACGTCGCTCTCATTGTAATAAAGAAGTTCTTTATTCATATAGTGTTATCCTACCTTACTACTCCAACTTCTAAATGTCTCTCAAAGAAGTCATTTCCACAATGTCCTACTCTCTCTGTCAAAACAAGGGACAGTATTTTGTACTAGCTCGTCACCAAACAGTTGACAGAGTGAGTACACAAGAATCATTGGTCGAACTCTGTAGAAATATGTTTTCATCTATCAATATATTAAACCCTTATTATGGTTCGATTAGATTTCTGAAAATGTCATATTGTGGAAATATGTGCTCGACGGATATAATGCGTGTGTTTTAAAGGCGTAATGACGAATAAATCTTCCTTCCATTTTTTGGGAGAAAGAAATATGTATCTATGTTTGCGACTACCAACCATAAACACTATTCTGTATGCCGTGAAAACTCCATACAGCCTTCTTTGTTATTTACATTGGGTTTGGCGCTGACAATCCAGAAGAAACGAAATTTTGGCTTCACACATTGTACTTAGGGGCAATTACCTCTTATTTATCGGTAGACGAGATGTACGACTGTAACAGTCCGACTGCTAGTTCAACCAGACATGACGCATGACTATACAAAACATTTTATCAATAAAACACGTTCTGTGGACATTAGGAGTCTTTGTTGACAGCAGAGTCGATTGTACAGTAAGAACTACGTCATAAGCATGATTGTGTTTATGAAGTATCACGTAGGTGTTCGCAAAACGTTGAGCGTATCCTGCACCAACGGTGTCTGCCGTCACAAACACATGCAAAGTCACGTCTGTTGTTCACAGTTTAACCGGAAATGTCTTTACTGATAGCTTAACTGAGGCCATGAATGTCGTAACCTTGATAAAACAATTTGTGAGCAAGTGTTGCACGAAATCTTCGTAGAAAGAGCATGCAAAAGGCTGAAGCCTTTTTGATACTGACTATTAGAAAGTTTCATAATAACAACACGCAAATCAAGTTTACCACGTTTGATTTATTCTCAAGTCATCATAAACAGCAATGCAACCCTTTACCTCGAAATTAAAAATGGATTCTTTCACCCACAAATAATACACCAGGCATTATGGAAAGACAAGTGGACACATCTCTGTCTTCTGGGATGAGGAATGGAACATGTTCTTGCTCGCAACAGGCAATACTGAAATTTGCGCTGGAGCTGAATTTGAACAACATTTTTGTCCGGATACATATGGTTGTATACTGGAGTGGTGGGGAACGTTCGAAGGATGTTACACTTCTTTGATATGATAGATGGGATGAATGTTTCGTCTTGTTTCATTACAGACATCATGTATACTGATACTGAGCTAAAAAGTACACTGTTTCAAAACTGCAAGGCACAGCCAATAGAACAAAACTTCATTTAAGCATTTCGCTTAAATCAGATTGGTCATGTTGTGACTGAATTTACTAATTGGAATGCATGTTTTGTTTTTAGGCATACATTCTAATTCAATATTGTTGACATAAGGAATGGATCTGTCATCCAGCTCATTCCTTGACGATTGCCACCTCTACTACTTCCCATTCCAGATCCCATTCCGGTTCCCATTCCCATTCCAGATGCCATTCCGGTTCCCATTCCCATTCCGGATCCCATTCCGGATCCCATTCCCCTACGACGGTTTGGGTTAAACCGGTTCATCATCCACATGGTTTCTGAGTTGATGTCGAGCATGCCTGGAGGAAAACCGAACATGTTCATCAGCTGGAAATCCATGTATTGATCCATGTTTCCATTAAAGAGGAACATGTTTGCTAAATTGTTCATTGGGTTTGCTTGACCCATTTGGTTTCCTTGACCGAATCGATTTCCTTGCTGACCCCATTGGTTTTGTGGTGTCGCCCATTGGTTTTGTGGTGGTCCCCATTGGTTTTGTGGTGGCCCCCATTGGTTTTGTGGTGGTCCCCATTGGTTTTGTGGTGGGCCCCATTGGTTTTGTGGTGGCCCCCATTGGTTTTGTGGTGGACCCCACTGGCTCTGTTGTGGGCCAAATCCGTTGGGAGACTGCCCACCCATAGGGTTGTTGGGCATTTGGTTCGATTGCATAGGATATGGCGGTTGCTGTCCGAAATTCATTGAATTAGGATACGGCATGTTTGTCTGTTGTTGCTGCTGCTGTTGTTGTTGTTGCTGCTGTGGTGGTGCTGCAAAATTTTGTTGAGGAGCGTTTGTTGATTGAACAGCATTTGCTGCAGGTGCTCCGGTATTGGTGCCTTGCTGGGTGGCTTGGGTGTTGGCATTGATAGGGTAAGGTTGTCCAAATCCTGTAAATGGAGGCATCAAACGTGTTATGGTGATCGGGGCTTAATGATGCGATGAACGGCGGGTATATGATTGTAATTACCTAAAATACCTTCCGATAAACAGCTGATGCTAAAACGGGTACAACACGTGATCAATATTCGATATCACTATTATTTTAAAAATCTGTTTAAAATATAATTGGATGTGGATGCCTGACCTACAGATGGATAACTCTTCAGAATTCACCAATCAAGAGATACGGATTATAGTGTCCCGAGTGTTAAGGAAGGTGTAAGTCCCTCATCCTCGTCTCGTTCACAAGGGAAAGGGTGATTCAACGTTCTTGATTTGTAACATTACGAACAATGGTTGACTTCACATAGTATTATCCTCAAAATGACATCGATGTGTCGTCATATAACCTGACCAATCAGCGTTGAGAATTAAGGACACATGTGCTAAACATGTGAAAGTTATTCTGTTGTAAGTCCCCACCTGGTGAGAGGTTGGCTGCAAAGCACAACACTACACACAGTGTTGACAGCATGGTCTTCATTGTAGCTGTAGGCCCTTTCTGTCAAATGAACACTGAAAAGTCAAAATAATTATCATTTACAATCAATAAAAGATATACTCAACAAAGGACACTGATATATAAACATAATAAAACGTTCAAATGATCTCAAATAATATTACTGTTGCCGTTCCTTAACGCAAGTGTGATATGAACAAAAGATGCAGTCGGAAAGATGCATTTAAAAGGTGAAATGTCAAGGTTATTCAGATTTCATGATTCTTATGTTTCGTAGTAAATCAAACTACTTACACGTGTACGAGTACACAAAAACATAGATTCAGTGACACAGTTACATAAGTTATTTGAATTTATTACAAATTTTGAAAGAACATATTTGAAAACATATACATTTTTTTCAAAATGCCTCCTAAAATTGTTAGCTGGTAACAAATACTTCGCCAGATCTCAAAAGACTGTACAATGTTGAAAGGATTTGACATTGAGCCAGTAAGTTTGTGAACAATCCTAGTAATATTTATTTGAAATTCAATACTAATCACTTCACTGCAAGAATTTGTTTGAAACCTAATACCAGCCAATTCGTTGCAAAAATAGTAAGCTTTAGTATTTCTTTTCTTTCCTACACGCGGCTTTGCATAGGTAACCTGAGATATGCCTTTACTCTGACCAATGATGCATAACACTATTCGTAATTAGTTATCAAAATTCCATCTTTCATCGAAACAAGCTAAAGTTCCGGTAGCTAGTAGATCATTTCTGTGGACACAAGCTAAATACTTGGCACCCAATAGATCATATCTGTGGACACAAGCTAAATTCTCGGCACCCAATAGATCATTTTTGTGGACACAAGCTAAATTCTCGGCACCCAATAGATCATTTTTGTGGACACAAGCTAAATTCTCGGCACCCAATAAATCACCTCTGTGGACACAAGCTAGATTCCCGATATCCAATAGATCATTTCTGTGGACAGAAGGTAAATTCTCGGCACCCAGGAGATCATTTCTGTGTACATAAGCTCAATTCTCGGCATCCAATAGACCATTTCTGTGGACATGAGCTCAATTCTCGGCACCCAATAGATACTTTCTGTGGACACAAGCTCAATTCTCGGCACCCAACAGATCATTTCTATAGACAAATGCTACATTCTCGGCACCCAACAAATCATTTCTATAGACAAAAGCTACATTCTCGGCACCCAATAAATCATTTCTGTAGACAAAAGCTAAATTCTCGGCACCCAACAAATCATTTCTATAGACAAAAGCTAAATTCTCGGCACCCAACAGATCACTTCTATAGACAAAAGCTAAATTCTCGGCACCCAGTAGATCACTGCTCTGGACATAAGCTAAATTCACGGCACCAAATAAATCACTTCTGTGGAATCGAAATAGATGTCAGACACTCGATTAATCGCTTCTGTGGACACAAGCTAAATTCTCGGCACCAAATAAATCATTTCTATAAAGAAAAGCTAAATTCTCGGCACCTAAAACATCCTTTCTGTGTGCACAAGCTAAATTCTCGACACCCAACAAATCATTTCTTAACTTTTGTGGAAACAAGCTACATTCCTGACATCCAATACATCACTTCTGTGGAATCCAAACACATTTCAGGGACTCAATACATCACTTTTGTGGAAACGAAATAGATTCGTGGTACTAGAATTCGATTTCATAATAATACCAAGATATCGCTTCCTTGGAAACCCGATAGATTCCCATTACCCAAGAGATCGCTTCGTTGGAAACAAGCTGGATTCCTGCTACAGAGTAGATCACATCCATCGAATAGATCACTTCAGTGGAAAATGTTATCTTCCCGGTTTTCAACAGATTGCTTCAATGGAAACATAATAGTTCCAGGTATACAAAAGGAACATACAGCACAATCTGTCATTATATACTATCACAAGCGTTCTCTAGGCCAGGTAATACGCGGTAGAAAGATACATATTGTGTAACACTTGTCCACACATTCCGTGACCAATACGTGTTGGGGTTTGTTTTGTTGGGTGTAGTTTTGTAAAACTGAGGAAACAAGCCTGGGGAAACACTCCACCATATTGTAAAGGTTGTGTCCCCTGCGGATCCTGTGATCGCTCTTATTGTGATCATTGGTTTCTGAACTTCAATGGGAGTAAAACCACTGAAAAAGCTAATTCAAGTCATTTTAACATGAAAGATAACAGCTATTTTCATAGTCCACTACTCATTCATCCCTATCATAATAGATCTTACAATATAATGTTTAACTGAAAAGATAATCTAAACTTGATACTATTACTACATATCAGAAAGAACTATCTGATAAAAGCAGGGTTTAGTTTAAATGGAAGAACTCATTCAAAATGTATTACTCTGACTTATCTTTTGTGCGTTCAACAAAACACATTCAGCAGGGTTACCCCTTACCTGTATTAATCAGGGGAAATAAGATCATAATTCAATCTATATGCAAGAAGCCTTAGAGCACGATTAACTTGATTTATTTAGAAAAAAATGATATGATTGTAACCATGATGTGAATTATAAAAAAGTGATTTTTTAAAATTTGGTTTGGTGTCGGTCCATACTCAATGTTTATGTCATACACTTCTCGGTCCTTTACAAGTTTATCAAACTGCGCAAATACATTGTTTTATTTTTTTTAAATAACCATTTCCAACTCCTGTGAATCTTGTATATATTTTTCCTTTCCAACAAGACAATACTTTAAAAAATCCCAGGAATAAAGAACTGGCTTACCTGGAGGTAGACACTTCCCTTCTATACCAGGTAGATCCCGCACCCTGCAGTAACCTGTTGTGAGGCAAACAGCCTTATTTATACTGACACCATTAGAGACGCGCAGTAAAACAACGTAACTTGGTGTCAGGAACAACCCCCATTATGTTCTCCTGACGAAGGGGCACGTCCATCAACGTTGTTGATGCTTGTGACGGATAGCTGACATGAGTCGAGGAAACAGCTGCACGTGGTGGGTTAATGGACGAATAAAAGAATGATTTATCACACAGTGTGGAACATTCTCAGCACAAATTGTCCAAGATGGTTTATATCTGTATGTTGGTGAAGTGTTTCAGTAACTGCTTTCATAGCATTAACGTTTGAAGTATTGTAACGTTCACTACAACTTCAACAACGTCAGAGGCATTGTAACGTCGGCCACAAATTCAGCAACGTCAGCACAATTGGGCTCATAATCAAGTGCCTCAGACGCTTTTGCTGGACTACAGGATCCGCACAGAAGCCAGGTTAATTAGGTGTCACAACGGCCTCTTCTAAGACTTTCTGCCTAGAATGCACATTCTGTAAATACGAGAGAAACATTTATTTTCATAACCATATGAGTCAACTGCAAAACTCCAATAACCTAACACTATATGTATATCAATAACCTAAGAAGATATGCATACCACAAACATGACAAGTAATATACAATAACCGAAAACTAAATGTATATCAATAACCTAACCAAATGTGTTTCGATAATCTAACAAGATGTATGTCAATAACCTAACCAGATGTTTGTCAAAAACCTAACCAGATGCGTGTCAGTAACCTAGCAAGATATATGTTAATACCCTAACCAGATGCATGTCAATAACTGAACAATATGTATAGCACCCTAACAAGATATATGTCAATACCCTAACCAGATGCATGTCAATAACTTAACAATATGTATAGCACCCTAACAAGATGTTTGTCAATAACCTAACCAGATGCGTGTCAATAACCTAGCAAAATTTATTTCAATAACCTTACCAGATGTATGTCAATAACCTAACAAGGTGTATGTCAATGGTGTAACAAGATGTGTGTCAATAACCTAACAAAATGTATATCAATAACCTAACAAGATGCGTGTCAATAACCTAACAAGATGTGTGTCAATAACTTAACAAGACGTGTGTCAATAACCTTACAAGATCTCATTGATTTCAACAAAATAGTAAACGTTCGAGGCCTTCACTTTGGAATTTTAGACCCATTTTATTGATAAAACTGACATAACGCTCTAAGTCGTCGTAAGACAAAACTCTCTCACTCACTCACTCACTCTCTCACTCTCTCACTCACGACATTCACATCTATCAAAAGTATCAACATTTGAGCGTAATATTTTGTCACATGACTCGTATTATGTATAGACAGGCGTGACAAACCACTCCTAAAAACCTGATATCACTTATTGGGATGGATATTGGTGACCAAGCAGGGCATATGTCAGCCATAATGGTTGCGATGGCAACATCTGTTGCCTAGGGATCCAAGCTAGTGTTGACAGAGACGTGTATCCAATTACTGAAGTCAATTGATGTATGGAATAAATGTCATTACATTGAATGCATACGTATTTTCCCATAGTTCTATAGAAGAACGCTACAAAACCATATCCATAATTGTAAGATATATCTGCTAAAAGTCGAGTTGATTGTACAAATCCGTCTATAATCATAAGCATGTGTTTATGAATCACTATCAAATAGAGGTGATACCGGTGTTCGCGAAAAAGTGAGTTTAACCTGCCAAATCCCTGTTCCCGTCACAAACACAGGCCAAGCCAAGTCATGTATGCCATCTGACAAAAATGAGAACACATGATGCAAGTCAATTAGGGAGCTGCCTTGTGGTCATTTTGGGTCACTGGTGCGTCACATTTAGAAATACCATCCACATGTCCATCATAAAACGTTTTAAAACGTGTTTTGAAATGAGAAAAACACGTTATTTTAACACTATTCCTACAACATAATGGCAGGGGCGTCAAGAGTCGACTTCACACATTGCACATGGTGCTGGGATTCGAACCCGGGGCTTCGGCGTGACGAGTCAACGCTTGAACATCTAAACCACAGCACGGTCCAAAATACCAGTGGAGACGAGTTCGGGAGTGAAGTACACTTTATCTGACTGGCAAAGTCAAAGGTCTGACTGACTGAGTTTAGTTTAGTTTTACGCCACTTTTAGCAATATTCCAGCAATATCACGGCGGGGGACACCAGAAATGGGCTTCACACATTGTGCCCATGTGGGGAATCGAACCCGGGTCTTCGGCGTGACGAGCCAACGCTTTAACAACTAGGCTACCCCACCGCCCCCGGCAAAGTCAAAGGTACAGAACAGCCTAGTCAACATGCGAACACTACCAATATGAACCGGACCTAATTACCACAGGTCATGGACCTAGATCAGGATGACCTACTGTCTTGCCCCGCTGCCAAGGCCCCAGGCAAACACCTACAGCGGCCATTGACAGGTTGTATGAAGTATAGCGGGTAGTCGTGACTAGCAGGTGTGGTGTTTTTCGTCATAACGAAATTATGTCCACAGGATGGACAATCAATCAAAACAAAAACAAGTCGTCATTAATTAACATTTAATAATCGGATATGATAGTCACAGGTTATTAAGGTACACCATTAATTGTTATACGCCCATCGCTGGTTTGTAGATAAACTGACGGTAACAAGAAAGTTAACCATGTTTGATGGTGATGAATGTGGTACGTGTTGTGTATCAGTGCAAACGGCCTTAGCGATAGCTGCATGAATAAATTTGTATTCATATTATTTATCGTTATTACGTTTGTTTGTTTGGTTGGGTTTTGGGGGGTTTTTTTTGGTTTTTTTGGTTTTTCCACAAACACTTCCACAGTGACGTTATATGTTCTTAAAATTAACCAGCACGTTTTAAGACATTACATGTACATATATGCACAGTATATGGCTTTAGAGATGCAATAAAAACACAATTTTTGACAAGGTACAGGAGTACAGACAGTTGAAGACACCAACCCCAATTCCGCACCAAATGTCACCTACTTGAAAACATCTCTTCCCGCATTCAGCATAAGTCATCTTGTCAAATAAGAGAGCAGTAGATATTACAAAAGGTTATCAGTTTTAATTACTGGGTGGGTGTACTATTAAAAACATAAATCTTACACAAAATCTTCCAATCACAGCTGCCACATGCCTCCATCAGAACTGAAGTGTACTTACGATACTCGCTCAGGGAACAACAGATTATTACTTTTTTAGTAGTGTAGTAGAACTTACAACTGCTCGTGATACGTCCGTGAATAACACGTAGAGGTGCTGTGCTAGTCACAGTGATCCCACCCCCAACATTACCGAGTCACCCACAAAACAATCGTTTTAGCGTTAACACCATTAAACGTTCATTCTCTCAACGTCACATACTGGTGGCTTTCAAGAAAGTCCAAATTAAACCTTGATCCATCCAAAAACATAACGTTTGTCCAAAGACGAATGGTTCATCGCTGCTGCTCTTGACACCAACGACGTCTTGCAGTAATGTGACAGTTCGTCAATCGTGGGATAACACGTGGTGCATGCAGGTTCCATCTGTGTAGCCGATACGAATTGTCTGGCCCCTTACTCTAACACCAGTAACTCTATACAGCTCATCTCCATTTTGAGAGGCACTTTGACCATGGTTTGAAAACACAGTCGTTCTGATGAAATGGTCTTGTGCGCCAGCTGTCGCCTTTGTTCGACCAAGTCGACGTCTGGCATCCACTTTATTTATATGTCGAAATCGTGATTGTAATCCGTTATTTACTGACTGTGTATTTTTACGAGTTCGTGCCACAATTCTCTGTCTCGTTTAACCTCCATTAATACCAATAGTGCGTACACCATGACGTGACAGCCAAAATACGTGTAACTGTATATAAAACAACATCACAACATATTTCAATCTCTGAAATGTAAAGCAACGGGCTGATACGTTTCAATGTAAATTCCTACTTTTTACCCCTACCATATATATGCATGTCGACGTGTGTAGCGACCAGAACTGGGATACGACATCCACAACCAGGAACATTAATTGGTCGCTCACTTATTTTTAAGCTAGTAGAGTAATTACAGTAAAGTGTATGAAAATGAATTCTATCTCGTTTCAGTTTCACGTTTCTACATTTTCTGCGCTGCTATATTTAGCTATTATGGCGGACATCGACTATGGAGCGCTGCCATTGGCATTTTTTGCGATCAGTAGTTAAAATAAAGGACACGAGTTGTGCAGCTGATTTTGATCTTAATAATTGTTTGTCGATTAAATACATAGTTGACAGTAAGACGTATAATTCTCCATATTAGTTATCCCAGTTCTGGTCGCAACAGACGTGTGCACATCATGAAAAACGCTTGCTGAATTTCATAACACGTTGTGAGGGGAATAATTATTTTCTAAACCCATATACAATCATCATTCCCAAATTATATCACCCTAAATTCAAACAACCCTTTTTGTTTTTCATGTATGTAATGATTGGGTAATTTAATTAATAAAATAGACAATATAAATATATTGTAAGTCGTTTTCAGTGATCGTTTGATGTATTTCGTCACAATTAAAATAATTCAAAGCACAGTCTGGACTTTTAGTTAATTGTGTGATGTTCACGTCACCACCACCATCACCTTCACCTTGTTAATTCTGTTGATCCCTGGATTGTCTGATCCAGACTCGATTATTTACAGACCGCCACCATATAGCTGGAATACTGCTGAGTGCGGCGTAAAACTCAACTCACTCACTCACTCTTCTTCTTCATCGGTGCTACAAAATTATTTCAATATTCATAACATATTCATATATACGCATTGCAGGATTCCGAACACATCGTGAGCGTGTGCTTATGAATCACTATCCTTTAGTGATGACACCAGATGATTCTGCTATATACGTCATCAACATCATAATTAGTGATGCAGATAATGGACATTTGAAGAAACTGTCGACTGCAGAAAGCTTTTGTCCGTCGGATATGGTCTATGTGCATATGAACTCTCATATAATAATAGTAATAGTACTTCCATTGGTATAGCGCTTTTCGACACATCAATGCAAGCTCAAAGCGCTTTAGCAAAGAAAGTCCAGAGTCAGAGATAGTTGTTGAACAGATAGGTCTTCAGGGGGGCTTTGAATGATGGAAGAGAGTCAGAGTTTTTTAAAGAGTCAGGGAGCTGATTCCATTTGACAGCTGTCACACTGAAAGATATGCCTCCGAATGTTTTCAGCTGAAATCTGGGAATGTCAAGGAGATGCTTGAACTGGACTGGAGACATCTAGCTGGCTGGTACTGTGTCAGGAGTTCACACAGATACTCAGGAGCAGTGCACGAGCACAGGTGAGCAACCAGTGCAGCGATCTTAAGATGTTGCTTATGTCAGCGGGATGCATGAACGCCGGTTCCCAAAATAGCTACATATAGATGCGGAAGATGCTCCTTAAAAACAGTTTGTCAGCCTCGTGTAATATCAGTAACATCTGTGTATTAATGGTTGTAGAACCTATCGTAAAATAGGGGCAGCTTGCAGTGACGTGGTGCTGTAGAAACCATATTTTAACAGCAAGTAAAGTTCAAAGATTTTTAATCGGTATGTCTTTGACGTTTCCAATTTGACATATCAGTGACCAAAATGATGTCACTGTATTGACAGCTGAGGATAATGGTTGAGTTACCTTTGTATGTGTTCGCGAGGGCCGACAGAATACGTTTATTATCATTATGAAAATGATTTTGTCACTTTAATGTATTTATACGCCTGTAAAACAAGAAACGTGCATATTTCCCCATACCAGTTCGTATGTTCAGAGTGTTGGTACTGTATGATTGATTGAGTGAGTTTAATTTTACGCCGCACCCAGCAATATTTCAGCTATATTGCGGCGGTCTGTAAATAATCGAGTCTGGACCAGACAATCCAGTGATCAACAGCATGAGCATCGATCTACGCAATTGGGATACAATGACACGAGTCAACTAAGTCAGTGAGTCTGACTGCACGATTCCCTTAGTCGCCGCTTACGACAAGCATTGGTTGCTGAAGATCAATTCTAACTTGGATCTTCACGAATCTGGTTATGCATGAAACTATTTCTCTTTATGTGTCGTGTAAAGAGGCAAGCTTCCACATGGCGACCGCCCCTGATCTGCCATGCTGGCGCCTTGACATGACATAGTAGGTCGTTGATGTTCCATGTTGCTCGTGAACTGATCCGTTGAGCGGACACATAAAAGGGACATATCTGGGGCTTGCCTGGTTCCTCGACATACATCTTCACCATTCTGACTGGGCATAAATAACACACCTGTCTTAACTATGGTCCTGTTGAAGTATGAAGAAGTGGGTAAATGTGGCCTAATATTGGGCGATGGCATGATTTTGTTTTGTGACCCTGCCTCGTTCGTCCTCTATGTGTGTGATTGCTCGCGCACGTGCTTGTCTGTATGAGAGAGTCTCTCTCTCTCTCTCTCTCTCTCTCTCTCTCTCTCTCTCTCTCTCTCTCTCTCTCTCTCTCTCTCTCTCTCTACCCGCCATCAACTGAATCTTCTCGAGTGTTGTTAATACGGAGCTTCGAAAACGGAGGCATTTAATAATAATAATAATAATGCATTTATAACGCGCCTGCTTTCCAGCTAACAGCTGTTCAACGGCGCTAAACAACTCTAGGGTAGAGAGACTCCAGAGAAAAGGAAGGTTTTTAAGCGAGTTCGGAAGGAAGAGACGTTGTCGATGCAACGGAGTTTGAGGGGAAGAAGGCTGAGAAGGCGTCGCTGCCCATTCTGGTTTTGGTCACAGGAATACGCAACAAACGACTTCTTTCAGATCTGAGAGATCTTAAAGGTTGATACTCGTTGACAAGTTATTTCCTGTAGATGGGAAAGTCATCCTCGTATAAAGATCTGTGTGTTAGTAAGAGAATCTTGAATCTTATCCGTTGTTGGATTGGTAACCAGTGCAGTTGCTGAAGTACGGGCGTTATGTGGTCTTTTGGTTTAGTTGTGGTGATGATTCTGGCTGCACGGTTCTGAACTAGTTGGAGTCTATGAATATTGCCAGATCCGTTGATGAGGGAATTGCAATAATCAAGTCTCGAGACAACGTAGGAGTGGACTAGGAGCTTAGTTGTCTCGGTGTCTAGGAATCTCCGTATCTTGCCGATGTTGTGTAGATGGATGTTAGCAGCTCTACAGGTGTTCAGCACTTGCTGGTTAGATGACATGGTGTTCATGAACATCACTCCTAGGTTCTTGACTTTGTCACTTGGATCAAGAGCATCCCCAACTACAAGGGGACAACTTGGGACCTTGTTCAGTTGCTGTTTGGTACCGATGACCATGTACTCGGTCTTGTCATTCAACTTTAAAAAGTTGCTAGACATCCATTTGCAAATGTCCTGAATACATCTAGTCATCTTGTCCTGGGATCCTGCAACTGCGGTTGGTTTCACACTCATCTACAACTGGTTATCATCAGCGTATCTATGAAACTGC